TGGTTATGGAACTATTTGAATGAACCAATTATATGGAAACTGTCCAGTTACCTCTTAATTTCTATCCTCAGAAAATAGAGGAAGAAATTCCAATCGCTCAGGAAAAAGCTCCATTCACACAGGAGTGTACTCATATCACCAACATAAGAACAGAAGTGATGAGGAAGCACTAGTGTCTGTATAAACTCTATGGTGATTGTTCTTTACAGGCTGGAAATAACACTGTAGGATGCTGCAGTGAAGTTGGGTTCTCTGATATGAGTTAAAACAATGGGGTCCAAGAACATATCAAGCTTGTTAAATATACTTACCTATCAGATTAAAAAAATGAGCAAATAACCACATAAATCAGAGAGGCAGATTGGTGATTGATGGATTGATTCACAGATACCCTTGTTAGTGGATAATCAGTGATGGGTTACTAAAAAAAAATTATGGACAATCTGTTGTGGTGTTACTTTACCTATTTATAAAATTAAATATAAAGATCTACAGGACAGAAACATCATTTAACTTGCCTTTGTAGAGATTCCTAGGCTCTTACACAACTTCAGACATAAGCTATGACACACAGTTCCTCAAATGAAGGATAGGAAACGCTTTTGAAGTGTAGTCACCTGTTACATGTATCTTACTGAAGCCTCCTCAGAAAGATCTGAGGCCATTTACCAGTATGACTTGACTGATAAAAGAAAGAAGCATAGACCTTTTAGCAGTTATTAGATAATAGGTCTGAAATTAGGCTTATTTTTGAAATACCACTGCTCCACCAGTAAGAATGCAAGATTATTTAAGTTTGGTAGATTGGTCACAAATCTAAGTTTTGTGTTGTTTTGCTTTACTTTACTTTCCTCAACAGTCCCTGAATATTTAGTCTAGTTAATATACTTAGTAACAGACTGGATTTCCACATTGGAATAAGAGATACTACAAGGGGAAACCCAAATGAAAGATTTTGAAATGCTCCTTGATACCCACTCAGATTTTAAACTGAAAGCAGTTCTACATTCCTGTGAGACCTGTAGTGATCAGAGTCCCCTTAAAAAGCTTGAGAGTTGCAGAGTAGTGATTCAAAGCATAACCCCCTTTACTTCACCAGACTGGAAAGTGCAAACACCACAGAAAAGGATAGAAATAATAGATGATTACCAGGAATTTAAGCAGGTTGTGATACAAATTTTAACAGCAGTTCTAGATTTTGGACCTCTATTTACACAAACATAGCACTTAGTACTTGCAGAGCAACTGTGAAAGGGCAAATGAGTCTTTTTTTATTCCAGTCAATGAATGCACAGGTGAATTGTCCAACTGTTTTTATTTTTTTTTTATGGTTGACACTATCACAGATGTCTTCCATTTCTCCCTTATTTTTTTAAATTTTATTTTAATCATTGTTCAAGTACAGTTTTCTCCCTTTTACTCCCAATCCAGCCGCCCCTCCCAACCCTCCCCACTTCTCTCCCATTACCACCCTCCCCCTAGTTTTTGTCCATGTGTCCTTTAAGTTTGTTCCCGTGAACCCTTCCCAATGTCCTCTGAAATTCCCTCTTCTCTCCCCTGTGGTCCCTGTCAGCCTGACCTCTATTTCAGTGTCTTTGGTTATATTTTGCTTGTTTCTTTGTTTTGTTGTTTAGGTTCCTGTTAAAGGTGAGATCATATGGTATTTGTCCTTCACTGTCTGGCTTGTTTTTCTTAGCATAATGTTTTCCATCTCTCCCTTATTTTTAGAAGATATTTTAAAAGCCAAACTGCCAATATAAAGAAATATCAATTCTTCTCAAATTGCTCTACAAATACAAAGGAATTCCAATTAAAATTTTACTTGGTCTTTGTTTGATGGATGTATAGATTTATGCAGAACATAGTTGATTATAACAGAAATAAAGGTAAAATAAAATAAAGCTTCCTAAAGAAGATTCAAAATATATGATGTCTTACCCTACCAGTATTGAGATATTTCAAAGGTAAGTAATTAAGATATATGGTACTGGCACGTAGATGGTTAATTGAACTAAGAAACAGAATAGAAGGTGAGAAATAAACATATATGGAACTTAATCTGCAATAAAGAAAGCATTGCAGATCAGACTCATTTACTCAAAGCATGTAGCAGGCACAATTGGTTATTTATGTGAAAAAAATGAACTCATATTCCTCCCTAATACCACACATGGGATATTCCAGATAGATTAATGTTTAAATATGAATGGCAGTATTACAAATATTTTAAAAGAAAATAGAAGAAACAACGAGTACCAAGGTACCACTCTATAATAAAAAAGTGTTTACCTTAGGAGAAAAGATAATTCATTCCAGAACTTGTCACGAGTGCTGAAACTGGTGAGTACTGAGCAAGCAACTGAGTGATGAAGAATTTTCTCTTGTGGAGTGATGTCATGGCTCGTGAAAGTTCTAGCAAGTGCTACAAGTCCTGAGCAAGCACCGATTGCTGAAATTTTTTCCAGTGAAAATTTGACAAGTACAGGGCTTGAGGAGTTCTGAAGCCAAGAAGTACTGAGGTATTATAGTATTTATTGGGGTGACATTGGGTATTAAGATTATTTAGGTTTCAAGTGTATATTTCTATAACACGTGATCTGTATATTGCATTATGTGCCCACCACCCAAAGTCAAATCATCCTCTATTACCACATGTTTGACTATCTTTACCCTTTACTACCCTCTCATTCCTTTTCCCTCTGGTAACCATCGTATTGTTATCTGTCTGTATGGGTTCTTGTTTGTTTGTTTGTTTGTTTTTTTGTCTATTCATTTGTTGCTTCCAGTTTTATATCCCACATATATGTGAAATCATATGACTCTTTTTTGCTTTGATTTATTTTGCTTAGCATATTCTCAACATCCATCCATGTTGTTGCAAATGGCAGGTTTTCTTTTTTTCTTATGGCTCAGTAGTATTCCATTGTATGTATATGTACCATGTTAAAGGAAAAGTAAAAGGTGAGATCAAGAGATAGTATAGAGACAAATGGGAATGATGATATGACATAAAAATTTTGGGATACAGCACAAGCAGTAATATGAGGGAAGTTTATATCATTACAGGCCTATCTCAAGGAACAAAAATCTTAATAAACAATGTACACATTATATCTTAAAGAACTAGAAAAAGGAAAAAAAAAGCAGCCCAAAGTCAGCAGAAGAAAGAAAACAGAGCAGTATTGAACAAAATAGAGAACAAAAGGACTATATAAAAATTAATACAACAAAAAGCTGGATCTTTGCAAACATAATAACACTGTCAACCCCCTGGCTACACTAACTAAAAAAAAGAGAAAATACTCAAACAAAATAAAAAATGAAAGGTAAGTTACTACAAAAATACAAGGGATCATACTAGAATACTATGAAAAACTCCATGCCACCAAATTCAATAACTTAGAAGAGATGTATAAGTTCCTAGAAATATATAACCTTCCTAGACTGAACCATGAAGAACTAAAAAATCTAAATGGACCGATCAATAGCGAGAAAGTTCAAACAACTATCAAAAACCTCCCCAAAATTAAAACTTCAGGAGCAAATGGCTTCACCAGTGAATTCTACCAAAGAAAATTTGATACCCGTCCTTCTCAAACTCTTTTAAAAAATCAAAGAGGCAATATACATCCTAACACATTTTATGAAGCCAAAATAACCCTGATACCAAAAGTTGGCAATGATACCCAATAAAAGAAAACTACTGACCAATATCTCTGATTAATACAGATGTAAATATTCTAAGGTAAACCTTTTTAAAACAAGATAAAAAAGTAAACATATAAATTGGTTCATTCAATTATATTAAAATTAAGTTTTAGTACTCAAAACTCATCATAAAGAAGGTGAAATGATAAGCTACAACCAGTAGAAGATATTTTCAGCACATAAAAACTAACAAAAGAATTAATAATTAGTACATAAAAAAGATTTTTACAGATCAACAAGAGGAAAACATTAAGGGACAGGTGACCTAAAAAGGCATTTCTAGATAGGAAAAATAAATATCTTAAAATGTATGAAAAAATAATCAACCTATAGGTTATCATGAGCATACAGTGAAAAACCACAAGGCTATATAATTTTATACATAGGTGATAAGCTCAAAAGGAATAATCTGACAATGCAAATAGAAATACTTTTTTTCTGAGTGTGAACATTCCATTTTAAAAAAGAAAATGAAATTAAAAAACATGATATAGTATATGAAAAATATCCACATAGTGGCTCAACTAATCTACTTTAAGGTATAAAGCCTAGAGTATCACCAGTACTTATGTATTTGGACTATATTTGAAAGCTTGAATAGTATTATGTCTAAGAAAGGAGAGGTAGATAACCCCCAAATCCATGGACAGGAGAATAATGAATAAATGTTGGCATATATTTAAGTGGGTTGTTCTATAACAGCTAAAAATAAATAAAGGAGAAAGCTGCATTATTAGATAATGCTGAAACATCAAGTTCAACAAAATAAATTCTTTCAAAAGACTATACACATTATTAGTTCAGCTATATTAATATGAAAACTAAAGAGCATTTTGTTCGGGCATATATGGAATTAATATTGTATATTGAGGGTAAAGGTGGTAAGCATAAAAGGAGGATATTTAATACAATTGGATAGGAGAGTGGAAGAGTATTTGGGGACAAGCACAAGGACAATGGTAATATTCTGCTTATAAGTTGAATAATGGGTGCATATATGTTCACCTTTTTATTAAAATATTTATTAATGCCCTGGCTGGTGTGGCTTAGTGGACTGAGTGCAGGCCTGCTAATCAAAGGGTCACAGGTTCAATTCCCAGTTAGGGCATCTGCCTGGGTTGCAGATCAGATCCCCAGTACGGGGCACATGATAGACAACCACATATTACTGTTTTTATCCCTTTCTTTCTCCCTTCCTTCTCCTCTCTCTAAAAATAAATAAATAAAATCCTTAAAAAATGTATTACATTACAGATATAAAATAATTGATTCAGGAAAATACTGCCTCTAACCTGTGTGTCAGGTCCACATAGGTTCCTTTATTTTTGCATTGATTAGTAGAACACTCAGTTTCAATTTCACACAGAAGTCCAAAAAACCCATTTCTGCAAACATACTTTTTAAACAAGAAATTTAATAATTTCATTGATATAAATGTCTAAAGTCAAAGCTCCAAATAATTGTAGCATGGCAAATTGTTAACAATAAAAAACATTCAATTTGCCCTGGCTGGTGTAGCTCAGTGGATTGAGTGTGGGCTGCAAACCAAAGTATTGCAGGTTTGATTCCCAGTCAGGGCACATGCCAGGATTGCAGGCCACGGCCCCCAGCAACCACACATTCACGTTTCTCTCTCTCGCTCTCTCTCTCTCTCTCCCTCCCTCCCCTCTCTAAAAATAAGTAAATAAATCTTAAAAAAACATTCAATTTGTCAATGAAATTATAAATGTACATACATTTAGATACATCTAGATGCATAAGTATGTATCTAAATTTTTGTTTTGATTTGTTTTCTCTACCTGCAATTGTTGGCCCCACCTTCACAGTCACCATAGTTCTGATAGGAGAGGGAGAAGCGCTCGTTCATGTTAATTTTGCAGTGTTTCCTTTTAACTCCTGCAAACAGAGGTGGGAAAGGCATGGATGAGCAATTGTCATTTCAGGGTGTAAATCACAATCAGTGAAATAGAGTCTGGAGAATTTGCTCATAATGAAAGTTAAGAAATAAAGAGAGAAAACACCTCATCTTTGGTTTTTCATACAACTCTATTTTATGGAATGTATAAATAAAGCTATACTAGTTTCTAATGAATGAGTTTAAATAAAAGAGTCAAGGAAGAAATACTTTAGTGACTCTCTTGGAAAAGTAGGGTTATTTTTAATGTCACTGTTTTTTAAGGTATTTAAGTGTTTGAACAAAAAGAATTGCAATAATCTGAAAAGCAAATGAATTAATGTGCTTACCAATAAAGAAAACTGAGCTTCAATGATCAAATTTATTCAGGACAATTAGAAGATGAAGAAAACTATTTGTTTTTCATATCTAAGTGACTCAAAGAAAACAAATTATTTTGATTCACAGCTACATAATTAGTCATCCATTTAAACAGATGTCAGTTATATTTTAAAATAATGAAGAACATTAAAAAATTACATAGCTGTAATTATCACAAAACATTTGTGTCAGAAAAAAATCACCATAATTTTTACTTTTTAAAATACATTAAACATTTTAATGAATATGATTAACATTTAAACAATTATTCCCATGGTTATATATTAACTAGGTATAACAAATTACATACTTAACATTCATTTTGTCTTGTTAACATTTTTCTATATGAATTAAAAATATAAGAAACAAGATTTTCCTTTCTCTTAATTTTTAGTGATATAATGAAGAAACAAATAATTGTAGTGACATTATATATGTCAGTATCTACTCAGATTTTTGTCACTTTAAGAAAACTAGATTTATTACTGGCATACAAAAAGACTGCAATTGGAATTCAGAAGCATTGAAAAGAGAGGGTGTTTCAACTACCCATGAATTATTCTTCCCTTAGTACCTTCCCATATAGTCTTTCCTCCCCTGCAAATGACTGTTGATGTTCCAAGTTTCAAAACATATATAATATTGGCATGAGGATGTCATAACACACTTTCCTCGGGCTATCTCTCATGACCTTTTGGCTTCAGCATCTACTGCTCAGGGTAAAATCCTTTCCCTCTTTTCCCACTCAGATTATTGTGAGACAACACTTGACTAGTCTAATTTATCTTTTCACATCACTCCATGAGACAAGTCATTGTCATTCTCTGTGATATCTCCCATCAGGTCAAGAGCCAAACACCCCTCTGACTGAGGTTTGGGAAGTTGGTATTACATCTTGTGAAATCCGGCTGCCTCTTTACCAGAAAATATTATGTAAATCTAAAAAAAATAGTTGAACAACAGAAGATAAGAACAAGAAAAATCAAAGCACATATGCAACATGGCTTACAGTATACAGTAGAATTTAAGAGTCTAAGTTCTGAGTGCAGGCTGTCAACTCAAATCTTGTATCTGTCATTAACCAGATATGTGACATTAAGCATATTGCAGTACTTCTCTTTGCCTCAGTTTTTCTATCTGTAAAATGGGTATGATAATAGCATCTCTTTTTCCCCTATCTTTTTGGGTGGCAAGAAGGTCCTTTGCTTATTTTGGGGGTTTCCCATGACCCTATCTGAAAAATTTTCACTATGTTTGCCTTATATTTATCTACTTCATGACAGGAGAAAATAACATCTGAAAATTAATCATGCTATGTTCTATGTTTTAATCATTAATATTGTTACTACTACTAATATTACTATATTGAAAAATGCTTTCAATCATGAAATCCTTACCATTGGTAATCTGGTAAATAAATTATGAATTAGGTTAAATTTAAAAAAATAAATTCATATGTATCAATAATTATATTAAATATGATATTTAAAAATGCTTCAATTTAAGGCAGAAATAGACTAAATAACAGAACCAACCACATGATATTTAAAAGAAACTCAAAATTCACTTTAGAGACAAGTATAGATTAGAAGTAGGAATGTAAAATAAAGACGCACCATGAAATACTAATCATAAGAAACCTGGAGAGCCCATGTGACAGATAGACCAGATAGTGTTCAGAACAAGAATCATTATTTGTCCTATTTTTTCTTACACAATTACCAGAAACATGAAGTTGGATGCTAATAATTTTAATTCATACACAAGAGACGTACCTTCAGCATTAAAAATAAAATGAGTTATTTCTAACTTAATACAGTTCTCCTAATTTTAGGTGAGCAAGTTATTATTCAGCATACATTCCCATTCCTCAGTCACTATTGCTATTATATAAACTGCAACTGTCATAATATAGTTATAAATAACATAATAAGCTTTTTCTTTACATATTTGCTTCAAATTAAAATTTTTTACAAGTTAAAGTTTTAGAGAGTCGATGTATTCCACCATTCATACTTCTAGTATGACTAGCTTTGTCTAGGAGGCTTGGGATATTGACAGTAATATGTTTCCTAGAAATATTCTTCTGACACACTGCAGCTCAGGGGCACTAGCTAGAGAAATGCCAGTGTGACTCCCTGAGTTCATCCAGACTGATGAATCAGAAGAACAGTCAGGACCTGGGAACTCAGACCGCTCACAGGATAAACTTATTTTCTGTGATTTTACCTTATTCATTTAGTTTGACATTTCTGAGATGGAGCTTTGTTACCAACTAGCAGCATATGTCAATGGACTGCAGAAATTAGATTACTGACATGCAGTAGACATTTGGAGAAAAAAAATAAAGTAGATATGGATTGCATTTAGAATAAGACAAAACTTTGCTGAGGAAGCTTATATTTAAGAGATTTAAAGAAGGGAAATGTATACTTAGTCCCAAATTTTCCATAGTCCTTGGTGTGAGCAGTTGATGTTTATTCGTGTAAAAGGTACAAGCAGTGACAGCTAAAAGTCTGTCAAAACTAAAAGTACAGTGGATTAATTCTGTGTTGTTCTTCTGCTACTTATCTCCATCCAGAACTACTCAGCTATGTCTATTAACTGAAATAGAGTCCTTTACACACAAATAATGAGTTTTTCTCAGACCGATGTTTTTTTAATCATTGTCTCAGTATCTTGCCTGGGTATTATCATAGCAAATGCACGTGACTGGTTAACAAATGATATTACACTTCTCCATTCCCCCAAAACATACCATAAAAGTAGTGACTAAACCTACTGCTATTTTTTTTAATATTTTATTTAATTATTTTTACAGAGAAGAAAGGAGGGAAAAAGAGAGGGAGAGAAAATTTAATGTATGGTTACCTTTTGCACACCCCTTACTGGAGACCTGGTTCACAACCCAGGCAAGTGCCCTGACTGGGAATAGAACCAGTTACCCTTTGATTTGCAGGCCAGTGCTTAATCCACTGAGCCATACCAGCCAGAGCAGTACTACTGCTAAAATTTTGGAGAAAAACAACTTGTTAATATCTTCTCATTTCCAACAAGCATAGTTTATTCGTACTTGATTCTCTAGATGATATTGCACAGAACAAAGTATGCCAAATATAAGTTTTCATAAAACCATTTTAGTAACATTATATCATTCAGGGTTATAACTTGAAACTATCACATTAGAAGTTATATCACTTGAAGTAATTAGAAATGAAAATATATAAAGAAAACCTAGAGTATATCTTTCAAGTATCCAAACAAAGCAGTGTCAAAACCATACATGTTTTAAATAAAAAATAAATTATTAAAAGTGAATTATTTTCAAAAGTACTAAAGTATATTTGTATTTCTTATTTATTTAATTAATACTTCTTATTTAAAAATTAATATCAATGTATTTTAAAATTATGAAACAAAAAGGATTTTTCTCTTTACAAGTCAGAAAATTTTATAAATTTTGTTTTCTTTTTTATCTTAAAACAACATAATACAAATATTAATATTTCCTTTAAAATTAGCCAATCGTACAAAAATTGTTGAAGATTTAACTTTGAAAGCTCTGAAAGTATAACTAATATTTTCAATAAGTCCTATTAAGATTTTTTAACACTGATTTTAAGTCAACTTTAAAAAATTAAAGCTGATATTTTTCTTAGACTTTAGCAATAAATATTTGACATGTTTTAAAGGTAATTGAGAACAGTATACATTTTCTTTGAATAATTTTCCTATTATAAATTTCCAAAGCTATTTGAACTTAGTAGACATGTGCTACTACATAAGCACCTGTTTTTAACTTTCAAAAGAACACTTTTTAATTTAGTCAAACTATTTTGTCCAGTGACATTTACTTGGTGCTTGGAATTATACACCATGGTTGATGTGGCATTACCATAATAATAGTGTATATACTAGACTAATAGGTACATTTAAATGCAACTGCTTGCCTCCTCTGGTGGTACAAACCCATCAAGTTTAGAATGCCATCAATGATACACATCAATGATCTGATTCTTCCTTTCACTGCATCTTACAATAAGACTTTTCCTCAATTTAATACTTTGTAAAGTGTCATTCATAGAAACTTTTGATACTTTCACCTTAGAGACATATGGATGAAGTGCCTACATTAGAAAACTAATCTTTTTTTTTAAGATTTTATTTATTCATTTCTTAGAGAGGGAAGGGAGGGAGAAAGAGAGAGAGAAACATCAATGTGTGGTTGCTGGGGGTCATGGTCCGCAACCCAGGCATGTTCCCTGACTGGGAATCGAACCTGTGACACTTTGGTTTGCAGCCCACGCTCAATTCACTGAGTTACACTAGCCAGGGCTGAAAACTAATCTCTTTAAGTTAAATTAAAAGTATTTAATAGGCTGATGCTCTTGCTTATAAACTGAGGCATTATTTTAAGTAGAATCCTTCCTAAAGACAATATTAGAAAATACATGTATTTAAGAATAAAGGAAAGAAGCCCTGGCTGGCGTAGCTCAGTGGATTGAGCACGGGCTGGGAACCAAAGTGTCCCAGGTTCGATTCCCAGCCAGGGTACATTCCTGGGTTGTAGGCCATAACCCCCAGCAACCGCACATTAGTGTTTCTTTCTCTCTCTCTCTCT